TTTGCAAACTCGGCCCTGGAAAAATTATAAGATTTAGCAGGGTTTGATAGCCAGGGCTAGAAAAAAATTTATAATACTTAATATATTATAATTTTATGCTTACATTTACTTTTAGGTAATTTTGATATTCAAGAAAAAGAACTGGATTAATAAAAGTTTTTTAAAGCATGATGGGACAGATAAAGTAAGAGGATGCAACTTGTTGAATGAAAAGCCAAGCAAGAATTTATTGTTATAGAGATTATAGTTTGTTTGAGCATTGACCATAACTGTATTTGTAGAAAAAGAAAGAAATGCAACCTTACCAAATGGTAGGCCTTCAAGAACAACTTTTCTACTGCAGTTAGAAAGAAATAATTTTATAACCTCAAAACCTTTATATAAAGAAACTAATAACAGAGTGAAGACTAATTGTAAGATAGTTGAAGAGGTCAAAGTGTTTTCTAGAGTTTTGAAAAATTGGAACCAGTTATTTAGCACTTTTTCAAAGTTTAGCAAAATTTGAAAAGATTTCTGGAGAACACTTTTTTAAGGCTGATGGAGATCTTGTCTGGAGCACAAACAGTAGAAGTGTTTGATTGATAATTAATTTTAGCATTAGAAGCCAGAATGATTTCGATGTTTAACAATGGGTTTAACTGTCAGGAAGAGTATGCTCACTGTATTAAAGAGTCAAATTAGAGTAAGATTTCTGAGAATAACAGAGCTTAACATCAGACAGGACTTTTTTACATTGGCTTCTTGCAATAATAAAAGGACATTTGTTCTTAAGAGAGATGTTCTTGTAAAAAAGATTTAAAAAAAGATCAATGTTTAATAGCAATTTTTTAATATCAATATTTAATAGCATTTTTCACCATCTTGAGCAACTGCTCAAGATGGTGAAAAATGTGGAGTAAAATGAGGCTAGACTTAAAATTGAAGAGAAGGAATAAAAGCTTCCAAATTTTTATTCCAGAAGGAATTAAAACTTCCAATATGCGCTTTATACATACATATTATAGATATAAACATATATGTTTGCTATTTATTTGGATGCTGGCATGCAATATCCTTTCATTGTTATATAAACTTTAGTATTTATATGTTGTATTATTTGGTGAAAGAGAAGATGATCAGATGGATGTGTGGTGTGACTTTACAGGCTTTCACAGGAAGGCGTGCGATTTCTTGTCTTTATATGACCACGCAAAAAATAATATGTTTTAACGATTTGATCACAGCTTTTGACATATATTTTCAAAATTTAAAAATGCACTACAAAATCTTACGTAAATTTATCTAAAAAAAAATTGTAAAAAGAAAAAAAATCTTAACGAAAGAGAAAATAAAAAAAAAATACTTAGTTAAAGCAAAAACACAAAAAAATAAATATATATATAACGCAACTAAAACAAAACTCATCAAACTAAAAAGACTAGTTAATATAATTTACGCATTAAAAAACCATTTCAATCTTTGTTTCAACATTTGTATATATTTTTTATTTATTTAATGTTTCAAAAATTAAACATTTCTCATAAAAAATACATAAATATATAAATAAAAAAACAAAATACATTTTATGAATACTTTTTTTTTAAATTAATTAGAAGTGTTTTTTTACTTCATTAAAAAGTGTTTCGATAATATAAAAGCATTTAAGATCAAACTTATTAAACTGTAACAGCTTTCTAAAACTTTTTTTTTTAATGAATTTGTGTTTATCTTTTTAAATGCATTAACTTTAATCATTCTTATATTTAAATTTGTAAATAAATAAAAAGACTTTTGTAGCCGTAGAATGCCATCGTTTATAGAAACAAAACAACTTTTTATTTTTTAATAACGTTTATTTTAGAAATGAACACTTGAACAATTTATGTTATAAATTAAAAAAATATATACAACTGTCAATTATATTTAAAAAAAAAAACATTTTCAGTAAATTGTTACTTTATTTAAAACTGTTTCGCTGATATAAAAACATTTGTTAAGAAGTTTTGATGTAATTAATTTCACTTTTTTAGAATATTTTTTATTAAGCGCATTTTTAAAATGTTTTTTGAATTAGCTGCAGTCAAACAATAGCAAAATGTAATTTGCGCATTTAAAGACGTGAAATCGCACGCCTTCCTGTGAAAGGATGCTTTAGCAAGACAAGAAAAAGATGCGTAATCTTAGACAGATTAGAACAAACGTTATTTTGAACAATATTTGTTAAAAAATATTAAAGTGATTTAGGTATCAGCATGTAGAGGTAGCAGCTTCAGTAGAAAATGGTAGAAGAAAGACAACTTCAGTAGAAAATGGTAGAAGTAAGACAACTTGAAGAGAGGGCCTTACAGGTTGTATAAATGAGGTTTAGTTAAGAAAAAAAAATGCTCTAGATTGTTTATATTAGAGAAACAACATAAAAGAGGAAGGCTAAAGCCTGATAAGATTATGGTGATTATGTTGATCATAATTATGTTTATATATGCATATATGTACAAAATATAACATGAATTTTTTTTTGAATATAACATTTATAATAAAAAACTCAAAAAATCTTTTTAATTTTATTCATTTTTTAATTTTATTAATTTTTATTAACCTTTCAATCTAAACAATCGATTTCAACAGTGTGCATAAAATAATAATTTTTTTTTTGCCCTTTTTTATTTTATTTGAGGACGCCATTGTTTTTTTTTGTTTTTTTTTGTTTTTTTTTGTTTTTTTTTAAACATCTTCGCTTCCAACAAGGCTGCAAGCAACCATTAATTAGTGTTGGAAGTTACTGGAAGAGAAAATATGAAGATTGTAGAGCAAGATAACGATTGACAGACGACTTAAAAGATTGCAAATTATATGAATCAGGAAAGCAAGATGAAGGAAGCAAATTTCAAAGAACTGATGTTCAAGGAAAAAAACTAGACAAAAAAGAGTTTTTGGAGCACTTAGGAACAGTAACAGAAAAAAGATGAGACTTAATTGAATGATGAGTAACACGAGAATGAATTTTTGTAAATGGCACAAGAGACGCTAGCTCTTTAGAGCAGTGCCCATTATAGTATTTGTAGAAAAGAGAAAGAGAAGCAACATTACGACAATGTGACAGAGGTTGAAGGTTGGCTGCAAGAGTAGGTCCAACTATGTTTACAATGCATTTTTGCACCTTGTCTAAAAGAGTAAAGGCATCATTAGAAGATCCATCCCAGATATGGCAACAGTATTCCATACAAGGCTGGATTTGAGATTTATAGATATAGTGAATAGAATCCGGAGTAAGAAATTGATGAGCTCGATAAAGAGAAGCGACTTTAGCAGATGCTAATTTTGCAACAGATTTGATATAAGGTTTCCAAGAAAGATTAGAAGTAAGAGTTAATCCTAGAAGATGAAGGGTAGGAGACTCATCGAGTATATTACCGCTCATAAATATAGGAAGGTCTAAATTATTGCGATAACGATTAACTGAAAAAAATTGAGTTTTATCTGAATTAAAGTTCACCAGCCACTGTGAGCCTCATGCTGTAGCAGAAGTGAGATCCTTTTCAAACTCAGATGCCCCCTGCAAGCAATCAGAGGGAGTTGGCTTCTTATCGTGACAAGAATAAATGGTAGTATCATCAGCGAACAATGCCTCCTTAGATGTGAGAAAATCTGGAAGATTTTAAGAAAAACGCCTTAAGTTTTAATTACTGACTTTTTTTATTAACCAAATGAATGTTAATAATAATTTTGAACAATTTTTGTATTGATTTTATCAATTAACAAAAAGATAATTGTGAGCATAACATTCATATATAACATTCATAAAAAAACAATGTATAAATGAAAATGGAAAAACTTTTAAATAAAACTGTTAAATGACAACTTTAAAACAAAAAATAATCATTCATTCATAAATTTGTTATATATTGAAAGAAAAGTTTAATTACTGTATTCTCTTAAGTATTATTGCCTACAAGCATTATATATATCAGACCTTATCAAAAAACCTAACACTTTTTAAAAAGGTCTGTTATTAAATATAACACATCTTATTATGGTGATAAAAAATAAAAATTTTACAATGAAGAAATAAAACTAACATTATCTTCTTCAACAGACCATTTTCCTCTTTTGATTGAAGGATTTATTGATTTTTCCCAACGAAACATACATTGATTGGTTGTTCTGTTTCCCATATATTCAGCAACTAAAAAATAACCACAGATAAATCAACATGATTTATTGTAATTCATCTTTGATTAAAATTATAATAAAGCATAGATATTTACCAAAAACCCACTTAGGACCATATAGTGCAACAGCTTCCTTTAACTTTAAATCATCGCTTTCATCCCATTTACTAAAAAATTATTTCAAAAATTAAAACTCATATTTTTATTAAAGATATTTCTCCAACCAAGTTTTTTGGCAAAAATATAATTTTTTAGGTGATTATGAAAATAAATATAAGTCAAGCCATGCAAAGGGAACTTATACATTAAAAAAGATTACAAAAGCCTGTTTTAATTTATGTATGTAAACTAACAACTACCTAATCTGTAAATTTATTTTTACTGCTCCTATTAACATTACAGAACCAACAGAAGAATAATGGTTCATGTAGAAAAAATATTTTTTAATACTTATCTAGGAAACAGTCTAAACTTAACGCTGTTTAACACTCATGATTCTATACTTGAGGGGTTTGAACATTTTTTTACAATGCTATTTTCTTATTTTAATATGACGTACATTTTTAAAATTCTTAGCATTACACTGTTTTGCAGAACTGTATTTTTATTTATCACTATTAGGATAACGATCCCAGGTTTACAAGTTCCTCCAAAATATGACAACTTTAACTGTTTAGTTATAACAACCTAAATATCCTTTTAATTAACACAAAAACTATTATCACTTTAGGATCCTTTCAAAAAAAAAAAATCAAACAATAAAAATATTGCATTATATACATACGTTTTAATCATATCTTTGTTGAGAGTTCTTTGAAATCTTTGCAAACATTGGACAGGAGTTCTATTAGTCTAAAAGATATTTCAATGAAACTTATTTTTCTTATTTCCTTTTTTTCAGTTTTTATAAGTAGTGCACACATACTAGAAAAAGGCATCAAGTCTGCAAATTTGACTTTTTTGGTACTATAACTATAAAAAATGTATGTATGTATGTATATATATATATATATGTATATGTGTGTATATATGTATATATATATATATATATATATATATATATATATATATATATATATATATATATATATATATATACATATATATATATACATATATATATATACATATATATATATATATATATATATATATATATATATATATATATACATATATATATATACATATATATATACATATATATATATACATATATATATACATATATATATATATATATATATATATGTATATATATATATATATATATATATATATATATATATATATATATAAATATATATATATATATATATATATATATAAATATATATATATAAATATATATATAAATATATATATAAATATATATATATATATATATATATATATATATATATATATATATATATATATATATATATATATATATATATATATATTTATATATATATATTAGGTATGTCCAAAAAAAAAAATTTTTGAATTCAACCTAGCACAGTATCTCATTTTGTTCCTTTGATGGAAACTAACTTTTATGCAAATTTTGGCATTTATATTTTGATATTTACAAGTTGCTCAATGGAGGTGAAGTTTAACAGTACAGATAAACTTGCCGCGGCTGCACTTTTTTGACTGAAATCTTCAAACTAGAATCACAAGATGATAAAATGTGATAGATACATTACTATTCATTTCAAAAAGACATACTGGTTATGACACAGACAGTGCAGACACAATCAGTCACACATTAACAATTTTTAATTTATCAAAATTAATATCAAAGAAATTAACAGCAATTTTTAAACATGCTCGTTCAGATTTTTATTGCATGCTCATTTATTGTTCACGTGTTCAAAGTTCAACTTATTTCAGTTTTCAAGCTTGCGACGTCTACCGAGGGGCATATGCCATCAGGGTGCTTTTCCGGTAATCTGGAATGCGCTTCCTGTTGTCCTCAACAACTTGGAGGAGTTTCTGCATTTCAGACTCTGTCTTTGTTATTGACTGGTTTAAAGAACTCATCAGTGCAATAGAGCGCTCGGCAGTATCATTGATAACCTTGAGAGAAGCAACAACAGCTTTGGTTTTTCGAAATGAAGCACTTTCTTCCCAACTCGGGGGCTCAAGTCCTGACAAGGTAGTTATGTCAAGTCCAAGTGACTGCAATGCAGCTGTTGATGATGATGTTACCAGTTCATGTAGTTGCTTTTTCTCCAACTCATTACATTTTGATACTGGAAACTTGTTTCCCCTGACACTCCAATCATCTCCACTGAGGATCATGGCTTCCGCAATCAACTTCTTTTCTTCATCAGATACTTTGCTGGAGAACAGTGAAAGAGGAACCATTTCTGTTCCAAGATACCACATGTGATTCTGCAATTTCTTCAAAGCTGCTTGTGAAACAATCTTGTGTACCTCAGCATATCTTTTTATTCTCTGAAACAGCATCAAATCATTCAATGGTGCATCACTTGCCACTGGACAAGCAATCCAAGCTGGTACATAAATGTGAGCTGCAAAAATGCAAAATTCAGACAGGTTTTTCACCTCAGTTGAAGTCAGTTTGAATTCATTCCTGAACAGGAAAATCTTCATGCAATATATGACCTTTGCCATCCATCTTGCCATATGGTAGGCACCCGGCTGTCTGAAATGATATGGCTTTCCACCAGCTGGATGGCTTGGTAGTGTGAAACCCAATATCAAGAGGCAAAGTTCAATCATTTCCTTGTAGTCCTCTCGTGGTAGATATGACGTTTGACCTGACAGAAAAGACAGCAAGAAAGGACCAAATTCTGCTCTGAGTTGTTGCAGCTGTGGAACTGTAAGTCGCGTATCATCAAGTGGAACAAAGTTCATTTGGTCAATAGTTGGCCAAGACTGCTGAAAACGTTCAAATAGAGCAATGTTTGGGCCACGGCTTGGGCCAAGCAAAACTGTGAACACTTCACCAATAATCACTTCATGCACGTGGTGTCGACAAGCTAAGTATAGAAGGTTTCTCCCAATTAGTTGTTCCAGCAAGACACATGCACCATTTTTGGAGCCCGTATTCGAAGCTGTGGTGTCAAAGCACATGCCAACGATTTCACTATCAACATCCCATATTTTGGCCAACTGGAATGTTGCCTTGGCTTGTGCTACCCCAGTGCCCGCTGGAAGCTTGACAATTCCCAAGATTTTCTCCAAATCTACACCAGTCACTTTAACACCAATTCTGTCAACATTGGACTTTGGATCCTCTAAGTTCGTGCTGTCTCGCATGATTTTACCGTCCCAGTGGACCACCAGAGGCGGTTTTTCACTGGAGAGAAACTCCTGCCGAATACAATTTTCTGTTGAAGATCGGTGTTCAATACGTTTGCGACGTACTGTTGATCTTGACAATGGCGTGCTTTGTAGGTCCTGTCCACTGGCTTTAGCAATTGCTGCTGCCAAAATTGTAAACTTCTGGTCAGATAAATTTATGCGATCAAGTGTTGATGAAACATCTGGTGACGACAGAATGTTCTCCAAAATGCGTGGTCTTTTGTTAACTGTAGTCCATTCATGTCCAGCATCCACTACCTCACATAGCTGCTTCTTGTGATATACTGGTATCTCTATTTCGTAATCATCATCTTCAATATCCTCCTCTTCTGCTCCGTCACTGTCGCTTTCAAGACCATGATTGTGATGGCTGCTTCTGGCACTTGCATCTCTCCTTTCTTCCTCACGCTGTTTCCTTTCAGCTTCAGCCTGTCGACGCTGTGCTGCTCGCTCTTCTTGTTGTGATAATCTTACATCTTCTCCACTCATCTTCATCATGCGAGCATTCCGCTGATCCTCCAAAAACAGCTTGTCTTCATCGATTTTGATTAATGTACCTGTATCTTTGTGAGCAATATCAAAGAGTAGATTCAGTTTGTCTTTAAATGCTTTTTCTCTAGCTAGCTGTGATTCACTTTCTCTTCCTTTATTCTTCTTGATCAAACTGTATTCATCAAAGCATACCTTCACCTTTGACACGATATGTGGTTGATAGGTCATTGGTATCCGTGCCTTGCTCCAAATTTTTACCAAATCAGATGAGGTTGACTTTGCACTGGCAGATACTGTCTGTTTTATTGTTTTGTGGTAATGGAAAAATGTACGAAGAACATCGCCCGTTGTCGGAAGGACATTACTCGGTAGGTCCTTTTCAGGTTGACCAATCAGCCAAACAGCAGTTCGAGTGCGTGTCAGTGGTACAGCGTTTGACTTTGCAGCCATTTTCAGCAACAGTCTAAAATTAAGATAGAAGCATTTTAGAATTAATAACAAGATAGGCCTATTAATTCAATGAATTCATATAAAAATGATTTATTAGAATATATTTTATTATTTTTATAATGGATTCGGATTGTCACAAATAAAGTTTGAAACCCTACTAATGGTTCAACACAGCATTAAGCAGGTTGTCTATAGTTCCTACAACTGTTTAATAGAATGATCAAATAAATATGAAATCAGCACAAAGTAAGAAACTAATTGAAACTATTATAATTACCTTTATTGAGAGTTTACATCAATGTATTAAATAAATTCTGTATAAATTCACAAGTTTGCTGAAATAATTCTCATTTGCTACATTGACAATGACATCATCATAGAATATCTAAATTCTAAAAACACTAAATAAATAAGTAATGCAAATGCAATGGTGCTTTACAGTCAGTAACCTTATCATAAAGATTGGTCAAATGGACAGATTATTTTCTGTTGTTACAATTTTATCGCGGACTCGCGGGTAACCCAATGCTGATGCATATTGAAAAACCTTTGGGGCCATTGAGCAACCCCTAAATATTAATTGATTAGGGATCTTTTTGGAAACATGACTAAATATTGAAAAACGAACAAAATGAGCCTATGTGCACTAAAATCGGAAGAAATTTTTTTTCCTCCATGTATATGTGGACATCCCTAATATATATATATATATATATATATACATAACCGCCCCCGTAACGTTTGGAATAATGTTATATGAAAATAAAAACGAAATGTGTTTTTTTAGCAGTTTATTTCAATAACCACATCATTAAGCTTTAAATTGATGCATTTAAGAAAAAAATTAAACAGGTTTTGAAAATGTCATTACACAAAAATTACACTTAGTGAAAAAAACGGTTTTGCCCCATTGTGAGGCACAACTGCACCCTCAAAAAAATCAATTGGGCTACACCTTTCATGGTACATTTTTTTTACAATTTTCACAACTCAGATTATTTGATGATTTTGTTGCATGTTTGCATATTGTGCAGGCATTCTTTGTGTTTACATTTTGAGTTCTGCCCCAGAAGAGAGTTTTTAGAAAAAATTCAGTTTCATAGATTAATTATTAGATTATGGTATTATCAAAAATGACTTTCACTTCATGAAATAATGCTGATAACACATATTTTTAACACTAAAATTAAATATTGCTTAATTCTCAAAAAGAAGGTCAGGAAAAATATGATGTAAATATAATATTTTTATCAAAATAAAAATTATTACTCACAACTTCTCAGAAACTTAACAGTCACTCTTTTTGACATATGCAAAATGAAGGAAACTGTTGTACTAACGCGTGGTATGTTTTTTGCCATATTAGATAACATTTTTTGAAGAGAAATGTTAAAAAATGGTTGTGCCTCCATATGCGGTTATGCCCCCACTTTCCCTACACACACACACACACACACATATATATATATATATATATATATACATATATATATATATATATATATATATATATATATATATATATATATATATATATATATATATATATATATATATATATATATATATATATATATATATATATATATATA